AATGGGCACAGGTTGGATGCGGACAGGTTGGATGGAACAAGTAGCATGGGAGAGGTTGAGATGGGACAGATTACGGATGGATAGGTTGGGAAGGGACCGTGTTGAGATGGGACACTGTTGGTGATGGAATTAAAGGTGACAGATCAGAGTTACAATGGACCAAATTGCGTTGGGACAGTATCGAAGCAGAGCTAGGAGGGGCAGGCAAACCCAGGTGAGAGAAAGAGCGTGGACGGGTAAGGGTAAGCCCAGGAATGTCCGAAGAATAAGTGACGCGGGTGGAAGCGAGGAGGGAAGAATGTCGGAAGCGAGAGGGATACGAGGGATTACGAATGGAGGGGCGCATACGAAAGTTGGGGCCGGAGTTGGGAGAGTGACGCGCGACAACGCGGATGAAGATTGCTCTGCGATTCTGGTGTCAGCGGATCAATGCGAAGCGAGAAGGGAAAGAGTCGCGCCGTAGGCAAGAATGGGGTGAAGGTCTGACATGAGGAGTCGGAAGGGGGATTTAGGTGGCGATGTGTATGAGATCAAGAAGATTTCGAGATTCAAAAACTTTCTTATCAGGTACGCATTAATCCGTGACAAGCGAAATGAAAATGAGTTAATCGTTTCTGATTACCACCAAATGGAGCAGCGTCACCAATTGTGTATTTGTGCTGTTTTTTTAGGGGAAGAGGTAAATTAATAAAATTAGTGTAAAACTCCTTGTCCACAACTGATGGTTGTGCTCATTGTTTGTTTAGGTAATATGCAAATGAATATTTATGATTACTATATCTCTGCTCACTAAACGTAGGAACAGAGCATAAACCTCAATATGTGCACATATTTTATTTAATTGAATGTTTACGCCCAAAACGGTAAAAAAAAGTACCCACCGTGAAGTGACGATTGAATCATGTTTCACATTAAATAGGCACAATTCTTCAAACAAAACTAATTTCTTCAATAGCCATGCTCTTCCCCGACACTTCTTTAATCCTTGGTACCAACACTAGTATAATCACTTGTAAACCGATCCCCACGCATTGATTTTGAAGAAGCATTATTGGAATTGTTGGCGTATTTTACTCCACAAAACTGGCTATTGGCGTCTTTTGCGGTATAAACACATTAAACACATTTACTAACATCAAAAATATAAAACTTTTTAAACTACGATATTTATCCCAATAATAACAAGACATTACAAGATAAATATAGTTAAAAAAGTTTATCAGTTGTAAATTGTACTACACGCTCCTGAACAACGATTATGCCATGCTGCATTTTATACGCCTTGTGCGTTGAGATTATCTGGTGACGATGGCGTAAATTCTATTGGCGACGAACTAGTAGAAGCTATGACATGTGATTGACAATAAAAGAGAGGTGCACAAAGGGTGGGTCTCAAGACGTAGAGACTAAAACAACGGAAAACCCACATTGCGTCAATCTAAAGATTTAACGCCGCAAGCTGATCGGTGTGCACAGTCGGAAGGGACCGGACGGACGCGCAGTTTTTTGCAGAAGCTTCGCGCACACTAGGGCGACGCACGGACACTTCGACACTTTTCGCGGCAATTTACAAAAAAAAGTTTAAAAAAGGGAAAACAATTTCGCATTTGGTTTAATTTTTAATAGCAAAGAAGAAAATAGGCAAAGGAGTCGAAGAAATCAATATTCTTCTTCTAAAGACAGATCGATAACGGCAAAAGAAGAATATTACACAATATATATCCCAAACTGATGCGAAACAGAAAAATTATAAAAGAAAAATGCTGTTAGAGATGCCACTATGTTAAATCCTGTTAGCAAGGTTCATATTCAGTTCCGATTAGTTCGTAGCTTTAAAACGTATCCTTTTGATTGTATGGCTTGCAAAAAATAGTTCTCAAGCAGAATTTGGGTTAATATTAGTAATGAATACCATTGAAATAATTCTTCAAAAATATTGCTACACGGCGAGAAAATACTTCAAGGCACATAGATATCCTTGCAACGAAATAGATATTATTGTTGGTTTTATGTCAGAAAGAGTAAATGCGAATACAAGAATAATCGACCAAAGCATTTTTAAAACAACACAATAGACTTTTGTCCTTCCAAGACGTGTTTCAATATTATTGCCACCGATGTTAGTATTTCCATTTTTTAAACTTGTCCTTATCTCAAATGAAACATGTTCAGGAGAATGTTCTAGAATATATCCGGAGCGACAGGGCAGCAATATATTTTGTTTCAAATTACTAAATATTTCATATCTTTGAACCCTGTATGATAGAACTTTTTATGATAAGTAAGCGCGATATTTTCTCTGATAATTACCAATATCATGAAAACATTTTTTTGTTCTCTAGTGTCATTGAACAAATGAATCATTTCAAAACATGCCATAATTTATCACCATATGTACCAACTCGACCAAAGAATGAGATGTAGTCATTCGGCATTTCGGAATCCCAGAGATCTTTCCTCTTTCCTTGCCGAAATTTGCAAAACGGCGGGGAAGGTGCAGATCGTCCCCGTCCTCCCGGTTCCGGCCCGTCCGTCCCGTCCGGTCCCGTCCGTCCCGTCAGTCCCGTCCGTCCCGTCCGTCCGTGCCTTCCCTCCTCCCGTTTCCGTCCCCCGTCCGTCCGCGTTCCGTTCCCGTCGTCCCGTCCGTCCCGTCCGGGTCCCGTCCCGTTCCCGTTTTTTCCGGCCCGTCCGGTCCCCGTTCCGTCCGGGGTCCGTTCCCGTCCGTCCCGGTTTCTTCCCGTCCCCGTCCGTTTTCCCGTTTTTCCGTTCCCGTTTTTCCGGTCCCGTCCCCGTTCCCGTTTCCGGTTTCCCGTCCGTCCCCCCGTTCCGGGGTCCCGTCCGGTCCCCCGTTTTCCCCAAAAAATATTTTTTCCCTTCTTTTTCCTCCGGTGGTGTATTTGCAGATGATTCTTGCAATTGCAGTCTTCACTTGCATGCCGGCAAAGCGGATACCTGAAAAAAGATTTTGTTGGAGAACTCAGAGTTTTCATGAAATCTTGGAGCAGCGACGGGTGAAATCGTAACCTAAACGATAACAGTTGGTGACAATTCAAACACAATTAATTTAATAATAAAAATAGTCATAATAGTAATGATAATAATAACAACAACAATAATAATAATAATAATAATAATAATAATAATAATAATAATAATAATAATAATAATAATAATAATAATAGCGTATGTGGTATTCTCATTCATTTCAAAAATAAATGGCAAATTCTTAGAAGTGTATTATTTGAGGAAGTATTTAAGTTCGAAATATATGTATAGAATTTTTTAATAAAATTAAGATAATACTTGTTACACAGATATGCATTCCTTATAAATAAAAAATCTTGTGATGTCATATATCGTATCGGTCATCCGGTGTGGTTCACATATTTGTTGTAATACTCCAATGAAAATAACGTTATTTATAGGAAATTCGGGGAAGGAAAATGAGATTCTGACTTCTACTGAGTTGTTACTATTAATTATGAGGAAGCGACGGAAAACCATATTTGGAGGATATGCATGTTCTGTAATTTCATATATTGTTTTTCCTTTGAAGTTTATGTGTAAATCTTCCACAAAGGTAAGAGATGTTATCTGGTTGATTACCACAATGTCGATGTGAAATGAAGAGTTGTATTTTATCGAACGGATTCAATTCTACAGATTATATGGAGAATTTAACTTTATAAAGATCACAGAACTCTAATGTATTAATGTGTTTGAAGCACCTGCTAACCAGAAACGAAATTCACGCGCAATGGGGTACAATTCCGCTTGACACCGACTGACTCAGAATCTGCCACCCCAACAATTGGATCCTTGTTTTCGTGCGATATTAAAAGGGACTAAAATAACTCCTTTCAATGATTGATTCGCAGTAAGAAATATCAGGGTGCACGTGATTTGATTTCAAAATATCCTCTATGACATTCTAAGACCAAGAACACCTACTCGTAATTGAACGCGACTACCAGACGCGGGAATAAAAACGTCAATCTTCGAATACAGAGGGTAAAAAAACATGAAGGTGTAATTTCATTGATATCTTACGACAGTGGTATAGATAAACTGAAAAAAATATTATTTTTAAAAACAATTATAGCGTATTGATAATCTTACATGTGGGTAATTTTATTGATATTTTATGAAAGTGGTATAGATAAACTGAAAAATATTATTTTTTTAAACAATGTATGCGTATTGATAATCTTACTCGTGCAATTTAAGTGTTTTTGCATTAATACCGAAATTGGGTATTATATAGTATACAAATACTGTGTAATTAGAAACTGTGACGTGATACAACGTTTTTATTGTGATATTAGTAATCTACGTAAAACATTGTTGGGCGCACTCGACCTGCCAGGGAAAAAATCTTGTTCGCTGGTGTAATATTGAAATTTTCATCAGAGTTTAAATTGCCGTTTTATTTTGTGAGTCACCATCAATATTGGAATAATTTTTATTCGAATATTCACATTAAAATAATTCTTGAATTTCCAATAAAAACATTGTTCTAAAAGTACACACTGTATTTTGAGCTAGAACAATCCAGAGTATTGATACGACTTTTATCATAATTTTATTGAGTTTATTGGTTATTGTGATGACATTCTTATTACAAGAATATAATTTGTTACAATTTCAATGATATTTTGAATTAATGTACCTACAAACGAAACAAACGCATTTGAGATTACTAATTTTTTCATTACTAAAAGTACTTACCAGCGCAATTCCGTGGTCCTTCGCCGAAAGGCAAGTGAGAATACTTTGCGTAGTTATTCTGTTCAGAAAACCGCTCAGGGTCAAAACGTTTGGGATTAGGATAGTATTCCGGATTCATATGGAATCCGTAACTGGGAATTAAAATCCGTGATCCAGCCTCTAAAGTAACTGTAGAGCCAGGTAATGTGTACGGTTTATTTGAGACTCTGTCGATGAAAGGTAGAGGTGGATATTTCCTGAGTGTTTCTGGAAAATAAGAATAAATTTTTATCTTTTTTTTCAAATTTTGAAACAAAATAGAAAGAAAGAAATTCGCTATAAACGTACTGTCTATCGTCCAGTCGTAGTAATCAAATTAATAATAAAAGTATCACATATAACAAAGATACATATATTGTCTTTGTATTTGACTAAATAAAAGGAAAAAATACTGGGAATATTTCTGTTTTTTTACAACAAACAAAGATGAACGACTCAAATGGAGATTTTGAAGACCTATATTTAAGTAGCGTATCATGCCGTATCTTCATAAACAACGATTATGTTCATTTTAAATTTATGTGAAATTAATTAAATCATTCTTCAATGATTCAAAATACGCCAAGATTGAATAATTAGCTTTTAAATTACTTAAAAAAGAGACATGTTCCTAAAATTTACTGTTACTATTGTGTTAAATTGTTTTCTAAAAGAGCTTTTGGGGAGGACAGTAGAAAGAAAAAGTATTTCAAATGTCGTTTTACTATACCTTGTAGGACCATGTCGAGGTATTTCATGTCATGAAGAGCTTCATAGGACAGTGTTTGTTTGCTAATAGAGTCATGAATTTCTTCACGCAGTTTACTTTGAACGTCGGGATTCATTGCCAGCTCATAAAGAACATAGGCAATAGTGGTAGCAGAAGTTTCAAATCCCGCCATCAACAAGGCCAAAGAATTACCCATCACGTCCAACATGTCGAATTCTGTAAAAATAGAAATGCAACTCTTCGTCAGGAAATACAACTGGGGAAAATATTCAGTATATTATTTAGAATATTTTTTCGAAAATGATTGACGTCGTGGCATGTACTGTATACTTAGAAAAAACCTTTCAAATTTGCGCAGAGGCTATCTGTCAAAAGTTAGAAGTTATATTATTCTCTTTAAAAAATAGGTTAATGGAGGTATGATGTACGAACTCTGGCATAGGAATAAAAACGCAACAATGCTTTCAAATATATAAAATTCTAAAGAATTTCACTTCTACAAGAAAAAAGTTTGATTTTATGTAACATTTTTGTAAAGTTTGTGGAGAGAAGACGAATTTTTATGCCTTTGTTGAATCTAGAGACTATGATTGATAGGATTGTTGTATTAAAATAATTAAATTTTCTTAATATCATTTTACTTACTGTGAAAATCCTTATTTTGCTGAGTGTCAAGTTCATCTTCATCCGTAATTACTCCTGAATTTTTAAGTTGTATAAGACTGTCCAATAAATCGTTTCGTTTGATCTGATGCGTTTCTCTTTCTGTTATTGCAGTCGAAATTGTATTTAGGATAAAATTAGTTACTTCGCTTCTAATAAGTTTTAGACCAAGCAATGAAGTGAGCTTGGGAGAAAGAAATGCAGAAACACGTGCTAGAGCTTCTTTTGGTGTGAATTCAAACGTTAATCTCATAATTCGTCTAAATTCTGCATTTGGGTTTTCCAGCGTGTGTCCTTGTATTCCAAATGCACAAGATGCTATGGCATCTGTTGTGTATCGTGATGCCAACTCATTCACGTCGATTGGTAAGCCTGAAACGCGAGAAAAAATTATGAAATTGACACAAAATGACTTCGCAGATCACTTTATGTTGTCGGATGTGGAAGTTTCATGATGCGTACTACGACTATCTATCGTACTTGGTAAGAAAGCAGTGAAAAACCACTATCCGGTTTTATCAAGTTTTAAAATATCCATTAGCAATGACTTGTCGAGACTCACTATTTCATCGTTATTTAACAACAGAAATGCAAAGATACTGAGAACATAACATTTCCACGGAACTGGCTTTCTATCATTTGGAGCATTATTTTTTAATCTTTGAAATGAATGACACAAGTTCGTTTTCTCTGTGCAATATAATTTTTGCGTGTCGTTACTCACTATATACACCATGGATTATTCGCGTGACGCTTATATGCATAGTGTCCTAAACGTTGCCTACCATGAAATTAATGTGAACGCAAATACACATGACCAATATGTACACGGTGAAGAATAATTAAATTCAAATTATAGATGTTGAAATTGACCTTAAATGTTCATTTACTAAATTCTATCTTGTGTTGAAATGCCCTAGTACGGGATACATTCCAATAACAAATTCTTACAGAGAAAACAGAAGGTCACTTTATACAAACATTCACATCTTACTAACAATGTTTAGACGTCTTAATCAGCTGAATGACGAATGCTTTCAATGCCCTGGACAACTCACCTCGGCCGGATGGATGTGGAATTCTCTGTTTGTGATGGAGGAGTTTCCACCAGTGAAAACCGCCTTGTCTCCTCCCTGGTTCTCACTCCTAATCAAAGCTTTGGCAGTCACTTCTCCCCGATAGAGAAACATTACGATCTCTACGAAGCAGTCTTATTTTCATCGTTCCCGTTATCTCTTCAAGAGCCACGCTCGAAATCGTACTACCAATGATCGTGTGTATTATAGAGGAGTTACTCTAATACTGAACCAGCTTGACAGGTCGGGAAGCAAATGAATGACACATTTAGCAATGAAATTTCACGAGATGGTGAATGAAACCGTTTAGTAATGAGCTAAATTTAAACGAACGCACTAACAAAATAAGTGTTAAGACATAATCTGCAGTTACATTGCTATCAATAGCCAAACAGTACGTGTCAAAACATTCCTATCTTTTAAAAATCACAATTAACATTCTGGTATGAACAAATCGTCTGTAAATAATATATACGTAGGTAAGGATATAAAAAACAGTGGTGATTTGAAAAATATTACAGAAAATTTTAACTTGTCGTCAAATCACAAATGGTATGAAATAGTGCACACAATTGCTTGTATTTTCTATTAAATAAAGTAGTCATAAAATTTAGGGTAGATGTGTGGTTTAGAATGTTTCATGTTCTATGCGATTGATTCTCGTTCGATGCGATTACTTTGTTTTATATTTGTTATATAAGGCAGATAGCAACAACAATTGGAATAATGTGTAGCTATATCGTAAATGTGTTCCTATGAGACAATACATTTTTTCAGAATTTCTTGCGTCTGTCACTCTTATGCTCTTATTCTGGTAATTTGTCTTCATTACTATTATCCTCACTTTCCGAACCTCACAGAACAATATATTATTATTATTATTATTATTATTATTATTATTATTATTATTATTATTATTATTATTATTCTCTCTTCCAACTACTGACTTATTAGTTTTTTACTAATACAGGCTGCCCAATTCAAATCGCTCTCTTCATTCAGAAATGCCAGCTCGCATGAATCCACAGCAAACGCATGAAATCCAGAGTCACAGCCGATTTACTCGGATAGCAACTGTAACGCGAGTTGTCGCGCGGAGTAGTGTATTAGTCCATGTTATGTTCGAAGGTTATGAACTAGAACCCTGGGACCTCTCAGTGAACAAAGCTACAGTGGCCACGGTCTTTCAGCCGAGGTATCGCAGCTAGTGGATACGAGTCGATCGTGCAATGACTATGTATCAGTATGTCAACTTAATTATGATATTCTCCAAGGTTTTAGAGTGACATGGAAGTTTGTGTAATTGAGAAATTTCAATTTTCAATAAAACCAATCAAGAGTTTTTATTCTTGTTCCAAATAAACTGTTTGTTTCAAATGAGAATCTGTGAAACTTGAGTGACAATGATAAGGCGAATTCAGTCGCTCTCTGCTGGAAGACAATTCTAGCAGCCGGCTGCTCTAATCGGTATTTTTCCATAGTTTCTCCGATCAACGGCAAGCAAATTCCGCAGCAGTACCCTAAACGCGGGCCACGGACCACAGGCGATCTTTCCTGCCTCTTCTTTGTGCTATCCTCACCCCTTACTCACACGTACACTAGTAGATACTACACTACCGCGCATGCCGTGAGACCGGTCGGAAACTTAGATATTATCTCGGTTTGGAAGGTGCCCAGCAGTTTGAATAGATTGTAACGTCGTGCCGAGGGGCCAGATGGACAACACATGTCGGAAGGCCAGCGAGGGGGCGGGGGCGGTCCTTTGGCGGCAAGAGGAAGGCCACCAGAGGTGGGCCCCCTCCTCAAGGGACCGGGTGGGCGTGACTCGGAACGTGGGTGTCAACTGGCGCAGAGGGAAATGATGGGTGAGTCCAGCCGCGGTGCAGCTGGACTCCAAAATTGCAAACAGGCCCACGCTTCGGGATGAGAGGACGCCGCCGGCATGTGAGGTCTGTCACGTGACCCCTCGCGAGGCGGCTGGAGAGCAACCAGCCGTGGGCATTCGAGTTTGAACCGAATCGCGGTGCGGAAGGCACATTTCACCCTCCAGGGGTTATCGCGAGCTTCGGCAGCGAGGTGTGGCGGTGGCCACGGGACAAAAGACCAGGAGCGGCGCCTAGCCGCTGGGGTCTGCGTCAGACTGGGGCGGGGATGCCTCAGAGATGTGCGGTGCTGGGAGTGCAGCGCGTCTCCGAGGAGTATGTATATATTGTAATAAAAGTTGTAAATAAAACTGTATAAACAACTCCGTGTCTGTGTTACTCGCACCCGATGACGCCACAATATCTGGTTGGGGAAAACCCTGTTAGCCGACAGTATGTCGCCGCAGGATCTCGCTATACATCGGGGGAAGACCACTGCCGCCCCCGAACAAAAATATGCACTACACTTACGGGACTAATGACCGAAGTACAGTACGCGGCCGGAATTACTAACATTCAATTAATTATTTGAATCACCAAAATCCACACAGCGTTAACTTTTGAGAGGGAGTGTAATAAAGTCCTTATAACATGCCATATTTATTAGTATGAATTTACAGTTTTCTTAAGAAATTTTAACGTTTTTTTGTTTTGTTTTTTGTTTGTTTGTTTTTCAAAAAAAAGCAATTTGTCGTTCTGTCGATTGTCACTTGCTGCCAAATTAACAGAAATAACAAGAATGTCTTAGCTATAAGGATATTACTCAGAATGAATCTGGTGAAGTATAAGAACTATGACATTTGTCAGAAATAGTTTCCAAATTGAGTGTAAGTGAATTTCGTTCCACAGCACAGTTATGAATTAATTTCAGTAATTAAGGTCGTCTTTGCAAAAATGAAGAAAATGTTTATAATGTACAGCTCGTAAAATTTTCTTTATTATTTTCATAATTTATGATATCTTATGATTTTGTGTTTGCATAGAATAATTAATTCGGACATTTATTTACACGACACCTATTATGCAGAAATGGAAATCATGTTAAGGAACTAAAAATTGCATGTTTTATCCTCAGTGAAAAAGTTATTTGAACGTGCAAATCAAAGTAATTAAAAGGTCATCTGTATGTATAACATTAACATTAATTAACAAATAATTAAGATGAGCATATTTTAAAATCGAATACATATTTGATGAAAAATCAATGAATTACTGTAGAATTGAAGCTACTCGGTCGCTTAAAGACAGAATGAATCAAAAAGTATTTTCAATATTCACCGTCTTACTTAAACTTGTTTAATATATTAAAAATAATAGAAAACCGATATATCAGTGAGTTAAAGAATTCAACGAAAACACATAAAGACGCTTGTGTAAGTTTACTTGTATGTGTTAGGCGCTTAATTACAAGCGATCAAAATGAACTAGTAACTTGTGTGGGATTTATTGTATTTACATACCTTTTTGAGCTTCCTTCTCGATTTGCGATACGAGCAAATCCACACATTCTGAGATGAGTATGAATACCCGCTTCATTTTTCCAGGTGTGAAACCAGGCGATATTGCAGTACGACACTTTTTCCATCGATCCCCCTTTAAACAAAAAATGGCCCTAGCCAAAAACGGATCCACATTCTCATCCGCATGCAGACTCCGGTCACAGAAGTATTGGAAATCTTTCACAAGCACGCCTTTCACTAAAATCCAGATCATGGATTTGGAGGACCGGTCATCGAAGGCATAAATTCCGATGAACCGTTCCGTCTTGAACTCTTCGTAGAATTTCTTTTTGGTCACTAATCCTAAGGGCTTCCTTCATTAAAACCACATCTTTTAACGATTCCAGCAAACGGATCGTGGTGAGATGCTTCCACCTTTCTTTTTCCAGTGACTGAATTTGCGTGTGCTGAATAAATAGGCGGCAAGGACTGCGGCTGCCAAGACAGTTACTCCGTACAAGAAGATATCCGTCGCCAATCCCATTCTGAACGCAACCTGTAAAAAAAATACTTTAAAAATATCGGAAGGGCACGTGTCATTTTTAGCGTGTAATGTATTTTAGTCACTGGTAGGTTCCAGCTGGGATGACTGTGGGGAACTGAACAGCTTGCTCGGACTAAAGAGATTAGAAACTAGTACGAAAGAGTCTATGCCAATATGTAGCACTAATATTTCATCTTTTTGAATTGTATGCTACTTTTTTGTTAATGAGGAACAATTAATTATTTTCGTAAGAACACTGCTTTTAACTTGCAAAAATGGTGGAAAAGATTTTTTTAACGTAGAATATAAGACATATAAAAAAATAATTTCCAAAGATGTGGTTTTTGGCACAATTCATCAAATCGATCACAATATTTGTACATCATATCTTAAACATTTTAAGAAACTGTCATTTTGTGGGATATTTTCCACTGACCATTACATGTTAAATATCGACTAATTAATAGTGAAATTGCATCGGAACACACATACACTGTGTTAGGTCTGAGCAGAAATATTAAATGAGAATCATGTGTCTCACATTATTATGTCATGAAATTATGTACTTTTTAACCTCATTCTGAAATTAAACAATTGTGTTTAAATGTCGATCACTTCGCGTTAAAATGAAAATTTATTTAATATGAAATTTATCTTATCAACCTTCGGTTACTCTAGATTTTCAATTTTTCTATATTAATAAGCATTGGTCTTCTTTAAAGAAACTTAATACCGTCTCACCTTTAACTGCAGTTGTGTATGTCAGTGAGGAAATCCTTAGAGAGGTGGCCTGTTACGCTGTAGACGAGTAACTAAAGACAACGCTCCTTGAGGACTGCACACTCCAGGAAGAACACATAACACGTTTCGTTCAAGGATAGCGAGATCCTTCTCTGTTCTGGGAATTTTTTGGGCTTGAGAACTATTCTCTATTTTGAAAGAATCGCTAAAGGATGCAGAACCAGATCTGCAATGCCAATAATTTTTTCCGTTTTTTTATTTACATTTTTTCTCAAGTAATTATTGTGAAAAACTTAATTAAGATAACACTTTTGCATCGGAAATTTACAAAATGATGTATTAATCAGCGCCGCAGCAGCAGAAAAAGGAGATGAAACCTCTTCTAATATGTAGTAAAGTTCTCTCTCTAAAACGTTATGTAGTCAGATTTCAGACTTTGTGGACCTCGATAACGAAAAAGTGTTGTGTTTTTCAAAACGGCTTACTAAGGACAGCCGTGGTCAAATGCAGACTCCGGAAAAAGGACCCTAATGTTTGTCTTCTACATTTCTATAGAGAACACCCGAGAACGTCTCCCGCTTAGTTGTAAAATGAATGTTGAATAAAGGAAGTTCAGTAAATGCCAATTAGTGTGGGGGCCGTAGGCTCCTGAGAAACGACGATGAGTACAATGGCGCTCGACTGTGAGAAAACAGCAGCGGTATAATATGCCCATATTTCAGGCAAGACAAGATTACATAACCACGAGGAAAATGTTTTGGTGAAGTGGGAGTTTGAAAATTCGTTTCGATTTAATAAGTGATATGATTTACCGTAAAACTCAGTAAACACTATACATAACGTTTCGGGGAGAAGTATAATCTTCGCACGGTTTATTGAACACCAGAAACTCTACCTCATCGTTTTACTTTCTTGCTGCCGCTTACACAGTTGAGAGAAAATTATGTAATTATGCGCTAAAAAACGCGATTATAAGCAGCAAAACTCTTAATACAGAGCCCAGTTAACGAGAAAGTGAATAAATGAAGTTGCTAAATTTATAAACAAAATTCTCTAACTCGTGGAATATCCATAATCCATGTTTTGTGAATCCTTGATACCAAAAAATCGATTGATGACGAAACGTCTGTCCGTCTACCTCTCTGTATGCATGTCCGACTAGCGGTAAACAACGCTAGCGGCAAAACCGTCGAGCCGATTTTCTGGAAAATTGATATTCCCCAATCGATCTAGCTGATGTCGCGGACAGATAATTTTAAATCGAAATTTTTTTTGGGGTTACACTACATAAAGTCTCTGGAACACTTTCAAAATTTTCAAAAAATGGCTCTACCATTTTTCATATTGTATAGATCGGCCTCGTTGTAGGATAGTCTGAAGGAAGTTTAAGAGACTAGTAGAGGTCATGTTTGTTGAAAACCCTAATGTTTCGGAAATTTCAAAAATTTAAAAAACGTTCCGCAGCTTATAAGAACTACACTTATAAAGATAATTTCTTTCTCATGAAATGAATTCACCAAAAACATCTTTAAATAATGCCATGTTGGAATTTTTGAATACGTGCGTATTTTTTGTGTAATTTGGCATCAAACATCGTCGCCTGTTAGGAATTCCCTGCGCTTCGTGAACATAATTTGAGAGATGTTTGGATACTATTTCTATCATTATGAAAGAAAGTAGATGGAAGGAAGGTAATAAACTTAACTTAAAACTAACAAATTACTTTTTTAATTTAAAAAATGCTGATGGCTGATTATTCTATGTTTCGTTTGCGAAAATTAGAAATTATTACTTTTTCTGGCTATTGAAATAAACGCAGGTCTGCATCACAGAGGCTTCGTTTTAATTGGTTGAGTTTGTATTATATTAGCATTATTTCTAATACTTGATATAAAACAGGAATTGGAGTACCATTATGTACAAACATTTTATTTCTAATTTTTGTTACTTTTTTCTCAAATCTTTATTCTTTCTGTTCAACATTTGTTTCACAGGGTGTTTCAATGTAATAATTTGTACTATATTAGGACGATGCCCCAATTATCAGGCAGGCTCGTAACCTTCATCCATGACATGTAACGAATTAAATAAGCTACGTAAGTTTGATTGTAATATTTCAGTTAATTTTATTTATGATTTTAATTGGAGAGTTCATTCAATGTTAATGGTGGGCGGGACATATCTTATGGATATTTTGAACATATACGGCGATTTGTTTTGATTTACCTACTTTGAATGTATTAGTACATGCAGAGAGATTGGAGAAGAGGTCTATGGTTCGATTTTCGATATATTGTTCGAGTGGTTACGTTTGTAATTCTCTATGAATTATCATATTAGTAATAAACAAATAGCTTTAAAAATCGTCTGAATATTTAATTTTAAATTACTTGTAATGTTTTCAAATGGGTTAGGGCAGCGTTGCACCGGAAGGGGCCGGCATGAGAAAATGTCGAACTATTGATTTAAAAATTAGCGTACCAGATTCTGATTCAATGGAAGTTTTGAGATTTATTAACGGAAATAATTTTAAAATTTTGGTGTAAGATTCATTACCTATTGCCTGAATACGAGATGATCATGTTAATTTTTGATCTAAGAGATTTACAAGATATTTAACTGGAATAATACCTTTTGTTCAAAACACATTATAGCCATTGGGTTGTAAGAGGGGAGGAAATCGATATCGACGTAAAGTAAATATTTCAGTTTATTAGTGTTCAATTTTGGTTGCTATTTTCGAATACAGTTTTGAAATTTGTACAAACTGCTTTGTTTATTATCATATTTATATCACTATTTAATGTAAAAAAATGTGTTCTCATAATGTGGTTGTTTTGGGTATCGCTGATCAAGTATACATATATGTACACCACAAACACACACACACACACACATATAGTATCACAATAATTGTATATATTATAATATAGCGTATTAAACATTACAGGGGAAGTACTGAAGTTTGTGCTATTCACTGAATTTATTGACCTTAAAATTGAATCGCAAGTTTTTTTCACAGATTTGTCGAGTTTCCTATACTTATCCCATCCTCCTCCTTTTTTCCCCTCGTCTTCCAATCATCCTATTTTCTTGTATACCTAGTTATTTTCCTGGGGAAATGATTTTTATTTCACTTTAGTAGAAACAACTCATTTAAATCTCTTTCCCATTTTACTTTACTAAGTTCCAAAACAATTTTATTTTTTCGAGACAATTTCGTTAAAGGAAGTAGAGCGTGTAACACCATTTGTTTTGCCATTTATCTCCTCTACAATCATCAGGAAAGAATAATTTATTTTTTGATAAAATTGTTTTTATTTAATTAAATGGTGAAAACTACTTCAAATGGTTCTGAAAATAAGTTCAATACTGTTCTTCGGTTGCAGCAGAAATGTCTTGGGGGCTAAATGTAATTTCATCGGGAGTGATTCTGGCCTGATGCACTGAATATTTCAAGATGATTTTTGCAATTGCAGTCTTAATTTGCATCATGGAGAAGCGTAAACCTGTAAGTGGAATGCGGTATTAATAAATAGTAAAAAGTTTCATACTGGACGAAAGTTTACACTTTTATAATACCCTTAAAGTAACATTTGGTTCTATCGTTTGTAACCCGAAAAATTGAGAAATCTTGAAAAAAAATCTTTGGGCCCCACTAGATAGCAAATGGCAAGAAGATGGACTGGCTTAGTTCCTATGCATATGTTTTAACATGTAATACCTTGAAAGATCATGTCCAAATACTTCATGCCATGCACTGATTCAAAACACAAATTTTCTTTGGTAGCATTGTTCTGAATTTGTTGGCGTAGTTTATCTCGGATGTCGTTGCGCAACGCCAACTCGTACAAAATATATGACATAGTAGTGGCAGAAGAGTCAAACGCCGCCAACAAGAACGCAAGACTGTTCGATGCAACATCTAGTAGACCGAATTGTGGGGAAACTAATAAGCAAGCATTTAGTCAAAAATCTTGGGAGAAAATCTTTGATGTTATTAAGTTCTTAAGTAAGAAGTAATTGAAGTAAACAAATAATGATGTGTCAATCATTAATTCATCTTGAACTTAATGTTGCGATGCTAATGTACAATATTCGGAAAAATGAGACTGAGTGCTCTGGTATTTCACGGACTTCACTGCTCTGGTATATTCCAAGATCCTTTTGTAAATATATAAGATGTATTGGTATAGTTTAATGGCTTATGTCTAACTTCTACGCATTATTGCCGGTATACCAAACTTATAGTATATAATCCAACACAATCATTGAGCAAACGCGTGCTCTTAATAAAATTAAACGTCTAGATTTAAAATGGATTTGTAGGGAGCAAAACTGAACTGAACTAACTTCCTTTTAATTTCATATCTTAATGAAGACAATTAGTTTCTCGGGAATTGTCATCCTTGATAATTAGAATCTATGAAGGCAGTGGTATTTTTATGAAACGGATTTACATATGTTAATTACTGTCTTTAAAACATGTCTATTATCGTCAGAAACACATAATGTAAATGACAAGAAATATAAATTATTTGAGGTTGTGCTGCAAGCCACATACTTCAATTAAAACAATAATAAAACATTCCGATTCATCATACTACTATTTTAAAGGAGAACTGCTGATCAACAAATCATTAATTTCTTTTTTGTTCGTACTATCTACCGGTAGCCTGTTTTTATCATTTTCTCCTTTCTGTCTTCTTGAAATCTGGTCTTTCTCGTTCTCTTAATTTCGAGCAGCAAGCTTAATTCCAAAGCAAATAGCGGAGGGAAGCTTTCTATTTTAGTTTTTAGAGTAAACAGGACGTGACCTCCGCTCTCGCGCCAGGAATTGCAGAGCGGCAGAGGGGTTCTGCAATCTGAGGGTCGATCGGGAGTGGGGAAGCCTCTAGGTGCGCGGGGCTGGAGCGGGTAGAGGCGGAAACTACCCGGGGAGCTGAATTTGGCATCCGGGCCACGCTGCAGCTAGAAATGACACCGAATGCCCACAAAAACATATCCGTATTATAAATATTTGATCTCTGCTCTGAAATATTTGAACTAATACAACTTTGTTTAGTACAAATATATAGTAATAGTACAAATATTTGTATTCTTCTTTTTTGTCCTTTTCTCCGTGTTGTTCTATTTCTTCGCCTTCTTCTGTGTAGCCAGCATAACGCTTAAGGACATCTCTTCTTGTGCCTTCTCATACTTGTTTTACTGCAACATGTTTTATATACATGTTTTATATCTACCTATCTATTCTTTCTGGTAGCATGTTCTCACCATTTTGTTTTTATAGGATCACATTTTTCAATAGTAGCGTTATCTGTGTTTAATTTGTTTTTATTACAGTGGTAATCTGTGGTCATTAAAATTGCAACATTAAATAATAAAAATGGATCACTTGTTCTAAAGAACTGCTTTTTACATTACAATTCTTGTATAAGGTAGGATTATACACATGTACATTTACGAGTATTTCCCTCTTATAGAATGCCATTCATATCGAAATATTCCTTCTCTAGTTTTCTAAATAGTGTTAATGTTGTGGATTTATCACATTATTTATACATCATTTTACGACTTGAAACTATTTACATTTGAGAATATATACCTCGCATCTCTTCAAATGAATATCTGCTTTGAAATATTCATTCAATATCTAATTCTCTTCTTCAAAAATGGGCGCGTGAAGACGTGATAGGTTTCGCTTCTCTTTGTGAAACACGCACTATTTCGGCCATTTCTGGGCCAGGGGGCGACGCCGGCAGCACTGTGACGATCAGAGCAACTCGTAGGGAATTTACACCGCCCGACTGCTCAAAGCCACCGAAGGCGGCGGAGGCGGCGGCCGCAGCACACGCGGAAGGAAGGTGTAGATCGCGCGCGCCTCGATGCCTTGCGATATGCCGTGCCAGAGGCATATCTGATCTTTTACTAGTAGTCAAAGAAGAAATACGTGCCGTAGAAGTTTCACAAAAAACTTTTAGTGTGTGTTTAGTGTACGTTCATTTGTACGTCTATTGCTTTCCAATATAACTGATATGACCGATTTAACATTGTTTTAAAATGTTGAAAGTCTTGAAAGTCGAACTTGTGTTTATTCTGTTGCAGGTGAGTATCCGTAACAACACTGTCTTGTGATATTTCTGCTCTTAAACCGTAAGTATTGCGGTACTTGTTAAACGCAAGAATTGATAAAGTAATGAGTATATGTAACAAGAAAATGCACCCACATTTTCACCTTTATCCTGATCTATTACTAGTAGTGAATATATGGATACAATATCAAAGCCATAGAATGGAAACTTTTCATGTTCATTTAGCACCGGAGGCGAAGTACAGCGGAGCCAAAGTAGATTGTACTCCCAGTCCGAAAAACGTATTTTGCCGCTGAGGAGTGCACAATACATTTTTCACACACACACACACACACACACACACACACTTGTTTTAAAATACATTTTAGAATATATTTAAAAAAGAAGCAATATCCATATCATAATAAAAAAGATAACGAACTGAAACACCAGAGGGCTATCATGTGGCATTTACATCCACTCGAAGGGCAATCGCACTACATGTAACACATCTTCCTTAGGTATTCAGTGTTTCTAAAAGATTGATTTCATATTTGGGTATTGTATTGCAATTAGAGTATTTTTATTAAGGCCTCTACCAAAAAAGGTCGTGTGTAGGCTGCACATGAACACGTCCGTACGATACCTGGTCTGTGAAATCCAAATGAGTGAGCAATATATATATATATATATATATATATATATA